AATACAAAAGTTTGGCATTCATATATGAGGTCTGGAGTGGAGTGGTAATATGTTTATCATCAATACAGAGAGAGCATTGAAAGTCAGAAGAACGTTTTAGGGTTTTAATATGTCATATGGTATGGAACAGCTTCTCTGTACTTTAATGTTCTGAAGCACGTGTGTCCAGAGGAATCTCAGCAAATCTTAGTTAATGAGAAAAATAAAACTTCCTTCTTCATCAGTGTCCTTCCACAAACACTTATGCCCAGAGGAGATTCCTAAAATACAAGGTGAAAGGTATTCTTCCCTTCATTGCTTCATCACCATAGATTGTTTTTTCCGTCTTTTCTCTTTTGTCCAACCCCAAGTCTTCCCTTCTGTTTTATATCAGTGTTAACCTATAATAATAAACAGTAATGCTAAACTTGTGGCAAAGCAAGTGACTTGTTGATATTTTGTGATACAAACACAACTAATATAATAGCTATTGTCTATAAAACTTGTATTTTGAGAGATTTTCCTGTAAAGAATATAACCTTAAAATAAATCCTCCAAACTTTTAACATGAGAGTTTGAAGGTCCATCAGTGGAGTTAATTGCAAGAAAAACTCATCCAAAGGCTGCCTATGTTTAAAGTTGACATTACATTCATACAGTTATTACATTACATAGTTGGTTACTAAAAAAAAAAAAAAAAACCTTACTGCTATCAAGTCAATTTGACTCATAAAACCCCTCCTTGGGTTTCCAAGGCAGTATCTCTACAGAAGTAGATTACCCAACCTTCCTTCCGAGCAGTGGCTAGTGGGTTTGAAGCACCAGCCTTCTGGTTAGCAGTCAAATGCCTTAGGCACTATGCTACCAGAGCACCCACATTGTAGGTTATATGTATATTTATCTTTATAAAAATATCTGTATTGAACTGCATAAATATTTATATATGTATATATCAAGAACATTAAAATGCTTATTTAGGTCACTGATCGATATCTTTCTCTCCAAGAAGGAAAGTGTCTATAAGAACCCCAACTACCTTATGAGATTTGCTTGATAAAGCTAGTTTTTGACCAAGGTCATTTTTTATTATGGTTCCAAGTAGCCATAGCTTGAAATAATCCTGTTCACACAGAAGTGTTCCTATCAGACAGGGAGGTCACACATCAATGAAACAGCCTCCGCACCAGGATTGTGCTTGATACCTAATGAGAAGTTTTGATTCCTTTATACACTTAGCTCCGTATTTCCAAGCTGGGAATCTCATTTCTGTGGACATCTTCCCTCTTTGTGTGGATTATTATATCATTGTACTCTGTCCTCTATATTTCAGTTGTCCTCTTTTTTTTTTTATTATTATTATGTATGATCTTATCCATGACATGTTAGTTGTCATAGCTCTCATAGTTTTATAAAATTATCACAAGTTCTCCAATCACAAGATTTTATGAGTAAATAATGATTAAAATGATAAACAAAGACAAAAGATACTAAAGTACATAAAGAGCTTATGGCTCAATGCAACTGATATGTATTGTACCTAAAATTGTCCTTATTTGAGTAGAAAGTCATCAGTGATCTCTCTGTACATGTTCAAGAGCAACTGAAAGGATGTTCTTTATTTTCTTTCTTTCTTTTTTTTTTTAGGATTTAAGAAAATGGAACCTAGCATCAATTAGGGGTTTAATTAGCTAATATTTATTTACAGTCCTTGAGATTCTTGAGACGACCTTACCCTTTTGATTGTTAAACCGGAAACAACCAGATTCAGTGGTGACAGTACTTATTTGACAACAAAATCAGTCAGAAATCAGGGACAGATTGTTAAACGTGGATCAAAAACATGAAGAAGAGGAGCACAAACTAGAATAATGTGTGAAAGAATGAGGTCAAACTATACACACAATAGGACCTGGCTCAGAAACTGCAAAGGAGTATCGATGAAGAGAGAGAGATGTGGGGAATTGACTTGTGTCCCACAAAATTGCTGTGCATGCTGTTTTGTTTCATTACTAGACCTTGGTTTAAAATAACATGGTCCAGTGCTCCCTCTACCAATATTCCCAAATATAATTCTGGGACAGGATTCTACTGTTCATATCAGGATGAGAACATTTTCTCTTCCCCATCAATTCGATTTCATTTAAATTGTTACAGAATTATCAACTGGAGTCTTCTGTTCTTTGTCATCTCAAGGCATAGTTGGTCACACCATAATTTTCTCATGGCATTTTTGACATCTGCATTCCTCAGAGTGTATATCAGAGGGTTGAGCAAGGGAGTCCCAATAGTGTAAAACACAGCCACCATCTTGTCCACTGGAAATGTGATTGGAGGGCGAGTGTATGTGAATATACATGGCACAAAAAATAAGATGACCACAATAATGTGGGAGGTACAGGTAGAAAGGGCTTTCTTTCTTCCTTCTGCACTCTTGTTACTCAGAGAGTGTAAAATGAATATATAGGAGATGATCAGGATTATGAAACTCACCATGCATAAGGCCCCACTATTAAACACTATGAGTAGATTTATGAAATAAGTGTCCATGCAGGCAATTTTCAACAAAGGTTGTGTATCACAGATATAGTGGTCAATAACATTGGATCCACAAAAGGGCAATTTCAAGACCAAGAGAACTTGTATTGATGAATGGAAACAAGACCCCACCCAGGCCATAATTAACAACACACCACAGACATGCTGGTTCATGATGGTTGTGTATCTCAGGGGCTTGCAAATGGCCACATAGCGATCAAAGGACATGACTATGAGCACGAAGACCTCCATGCACCCAAAAAAATG